CCTGCCTCGCGTCTGTGGCGTTATCCGTGGTTTCGTGGTCCAGCATATCCGCATCAACATCCCCAGGTGGGGATGGGTTCTCGGGAACAGGTGTCACGGGAGGTGCAGGATTATTATCGAGGAATGGGGAAGGGGCACGAGTGGCGGTGGATGGTCCGTCCATGGCATTGGCATTGGTTTGTCCGACCTTCGACGCCGTGAATGGTTTGAGCACCTCGTCATCCTCGCGACGCTGTCTCTTAGCGCGCCTTTCAGCAACCCCCCTTTCCTTCCATTGCTTCTGCTTGCGGATGCGCTCTAAGTTGTCCCATAGAGCCTCGTCCATGAGTTCTGAACGACGCGGATCCAACCATCTTCCCCCTGCTTCCTCCCTAGGGTTAGTAGGAGGTGGAACGGGTCGTCTGGCGGCGTCAAGGCCTACGAGTTCCGCGAGGGTAGGTGGACGCCCTTGTACACGCACTCCTGAATTGCCTTCCAAGACTAGCGCGACCTGGATACCATTGTCCCCGTTACTGTTGAGTGCTACGGCAAACTCATCATAACCAACGGGGGACGGGATAGTAGTGGGATTTCTACCCCCTCGCAAATCAGCGTCATGCTGGAGGTAGATGCGAATCTGATCCAGGGTCAGGAGCAGAGTGACTCCTGGCCTATACCTATCAGGCATGGCGAAACGCCCATTGCCCAAGGCACGAAAGAGTGGGATGGGAATAGCAGTGGACATGGTGGTCGAAGTATCGGCGATGCTGAGTGGAGTACGGCGGGTGTTGACAGATGGGATGGGGGTGGTAGGCGAGCGGCATGTTATATACCCTAGCTCCCAGCCTATACTACCTAGAAACACATGCGGGTCGTCAGTAGGAGGCGATCCATTACCTTCTGCCAACTCAGAGACATTTTCTATGTCTAAGACATGAAAATACTCCTTCAACGCATCCAGGTGATCGATCCGATGGTACGGAAGCCACGTTACGTCCCCAGACTTCCACCTGACTTCGAACACAGCCTCCGATCGGGTTCCCTTATGGGAAATGATCCGATCAACTGCCCATTCCTGTTCCTCCTCTTCAAAGTCCGCGACCTGCGTTTCCAAACGTCCGGGGAACAGCTGGTCATCGTTTGGCAGGTGAACTCGAAGATAAGACGAGTGGAACACATCGTGGATCCCTCGTTGTTTCATTCGGTTAGGTAAGTCCAGTCGGAACGAATTTTTTCCGAAGTTTTCTAGAATGCGGTAAGGTCCCACGAATTTAGGTAAGAACTTACGCGCTAATCCCTTAGGAAAACTGATGTTCTTTGTTGATAGGTACACCAGATCACCTTGTTCCAAGGGACAAGGACGTCTACGCTTATTTGCATCCTTGGTCTGTTTCACTCGTGCGGCTATCATCGCGTCATGCGCAGCCATTATGGTATGTTTCAATTTCATGGCGTATGCCCTTACTCCTGGGTATTCTGATGGTCCGGGATTATTCCATATCATAGTTCGTGGCACGCGTCCAGTGATAGTAAAAAATGGTGAGTACCCGGTGCTCTCAGAGCTTGCTAAATTAATAGCGAACTCGATGGCTGGTAGTCTTACCGCCCAATCCTTTTGGTTTGGGGAGATACTCGATCTCACCATCTGGGTCACTGTCCTATTAGCGCGTTCAGTGGCCCCATCCGTTTCTGGATGATAAGCGCTGGACATTCGTTGTTTTACGCCTATGAGCTTCTGAAAGTGAGTCCAGAATCCGCTTGTGAAGAGCACATCCCTATCACTGATTATTCTCTTAGGTAGCCCATGTAACTTATAAACCTCAGAAAACACGAGCTCTGCTACGTCCCGAGCCGTGTACGTTGTTCGACTGGGCACGAGATGAACCATACCCGTTAGTAAGTCGATCATCACGGTAATCGAGTCATACTCAGCGTCCCTATCCTTAGATATCGGTAGGGGTCCTATAAAATCAATACCAATAGCCTCCCATGGATAGGACGGTACTGACAACGAGTTGAGTAGTCCATATGGCCGTTGATTGGAAGGCTTGCTTCGCTGACATGTCACACAGGTTTCACAATACGATTGCACGTCCCGCACCATATCTTTCCACCACACATGATCGCGCAGGTAAGTAAGAGTTTTTCTTGCCCCAAGATGGGCCAACAGCGAGTGAGCTTGACTAATTACTATTTCCTGCAGCTTTCTATCATCGATCGTGATGTCTGGCACGCAGATTACAACCCTATCAGCAAGTTTTATCCTCAGGATCCCATCCTCCATCGCGAAGTTGCGGAACTCCTTTGGTGAGTCCGTTATCTTCTTAAAGAATGGATCCTTTTCATATTGATTCCTTAGTTTCCCCAGCAACTCCTCTTCAGGGTAGGTTGGTAGGGTCACTGTTTCCACCCTGGGACGCACCGCGTCCTGTACTTCGTCCGTTGTATTCAGTAGTGGTTCAGAGGGGTAAGTGTTACCACTCTCCCCCCCTTCCTTTCGTTTGCCCGGTCCGAGCAACACGAAATGATCTTTCATCCTCCTGGCGAATTCCTGGGACGTCTCTGGACGTCCCGTTTCCGCTGGCGCCACCGCTGTCTTCACGCGAGAACGCGGCACCGTTTCCTTGGGCACCGTTGCGACCTCCCCACGAGGACGCACAACTTTTGATGTGGCAGAGGAGTGCCGACCTGCTTCTTCGTTCGAGCGGCCCGGCCCATTCAGTGGGTGAGTATAAGTACCCCTAGGAGGCTTCGACGCAACCATCGCCCCAGCGTCCCCCTGCATTGCGCCATAGGGCGTGGTGACCCTCCCCCTCTGTGCAACCAAGGGTGAGCGTTTGGTACTAGCCTCCACCCCATCACTGTCTTTTCTCCAAGTGGTTCTGATCATCAATCGATCAGACCCACTTTGAGAGCGGCCATCATCATGACCCTCTGTCCTGTTTTTCCCATCTACCCTCACGCTACGACGTGGACTCACTGCCAATGCCTCCTGCCCCTTTGTCGCAACCGAGGGTGCAGTTGTGGTCTGATGCCCCAGACCCTCACTGCCTGTTCCCCAGATGCTTTTGATTATCAATGGGTCAGAAGCGTCTGGAGATCTGCCATCGAGGTGACCTGCCTTCACTGACCGCTCAGCCACCCGAGCGCTACGGCGTGGACTCACGGCCAATGCCTCCTGACCTACCATCAATGGCATGGAAATGAGGTGAGTTACCCCCTGCGCGGGATTATCGACGTCATGCTCAGTATATTCCCCAGCCGTCCTCACAGTGCCCGGTGCATCGAAGGCATACATCCTGGAAAGCACGTCAGGGAGTAAGTTCTCAACTCCTGGCAGATACTGTACCTCAAAATCGAACTCACCGATTTTCTCCACCCACCTAGCTTGTCTTCCAGACAGGTTGCGTTGGTTTAACAGGTGGATGAGGCCTTTGTGGTCTGTCAGCCAGACAAAGTGAGTACCTTGCAGTATATCACGGTGCCTCAGCATCGTCTCAACTCCTGCTAACATCTCCTGTTCGTGCACAGGGTAATTTCTCTGCGCGGAGTTCAGCTTAGCTGAATAAAAGGCAGCTACCTTCGCCTCACACCACGTCGGACCTTGCGCCACGACCCCACCAATTCCCCTTAGACACGCGTCCGTCATCATAAAGATCAGTTGCGCGTCGGGGCCATACACCAGTGGTACTCTACAATGCGGCGCACATGTCGCCGTATACTGCTTTACGGTGTCAAACGCCCTCTGCTGGGCGAAGTCCCAACAAAAAGGTACGGCATCCCCAGTAACATCTGACAGGACGCCCAAAGGTACTCTAACCTTATATATATCGTCCGCCAGGTAACCTACCGACCCGACGAAACCTCGACAAAGATCCCTATTCGTCGGTGTCTTCCAGTTCAGGACGCAATCGACCTTCTCTGGGTCCATACGGATACCATCGTCGCCCATGATCTGTCCCAGAATCTTGACCTCGTCACAGAGGAATTGTAATTTCTTCTCACTCAGGTAAAGTTTCTCGCGATTCAATATATTGAGTACTATCTTAATGTGCTCAACATGATCCTGCAGGTTATCACTGTACAAGATAATGTCATCAAGATACACGTCCATCTATTTGCCGAGGAACTCGCCAAATAGATGGTTCATTAACGCCTGGTACGTAGCGGGCGCGTTACAATCGCCCTGTTGAAGAACATTACTAACCATATTCCCGTCTGGCGTAGTCATCACGGTCCTGTGCACATGCTCGGGTACCACCCGTATTTGCTCATAGGTGTCTTGTCCATCAAGTACCGAGCGGTACCGTTTCCCCGCGACACGTCTTAAGATACCCTCCATGTCAGGTAGGGGGGACGTCAGTTTCCGTGTGTTCTTATTCCTCTCTCGTAAGTCTATTACCGTCCTTAATCTATCCGAGCCAGGCTTACGAATAAATAACATAGGGACCATATTCCCAGCACTCGTTACTTGCCACCTTCCGGTGGCTAGGTACGATCGTCTTTTCTCCGCCCATTGTGGGCGTAGCGGCTCAGGGCATCGGGACGGACGCCAAGGGTAAATTTTTGCCTCGTCGATCAATGGTATCATATGATTTATAGCACGAAGAGGGGGTAGGCCAGTTTCACTCGCTTTCGCGCAGAGTGGACGAGCCAATTCCCGCATCTTGACCCTTACTTTGGCCAGGTTCTCGTGGTATACCTCAGATACCCGCGACTCCAACGTTGTGACCTCCTCACCCCTCATTGGCAGAGGTTCGTTGCTACCGACCACGACGCGAGGTGGGTTCAACCCCATCAATATCTTATGTTGGAACATGAACGGTGTACCTAGTACTAAATCATAATTTTGCAGGTTAATTATATCGAAGTACCTCTCCGCCCTTATCGACTGGTACTCCAATCGGGCCATCACACCATGGTTGACTTTCGACCTCGAGCCTTGCACCGCCAGCTGGACAGTTATCGGTTTAGCAAGTTCAACTAAAGGTAGTCTCAACTGCTCCGCTAAGGTTACTGACATGAAATCCGATAGTGATCCAGAGTCCAGCAGCGCCCTAGCGGGCTTGCCATTTATGTGGACCACCACCACTACCGGCTTTGGGATTTTACGCTTAAAATCCTTGGCCACTGCCGCACTTCGTTGGAGCGCAGGGTATGTACCCGCCGGTATTTGCTGACCGTTCAACTCGATGACAAACAGGTGAGACTCATTATAGAGGAATCGAGCGTCTGGTGCAGGTGTGTATATACTCCTAACGATATCATCGAGCTGACAATCTTCCTCCGACAGCTCTCCCCGATCTAGAAGCCTGAATATATTATATTCGTGCGCCGTAGCCGACAGCTCATCATACAATGCATCGTAAGTTTTTGCTAGTCTCTTTTCGTACCATCTAGCTAACTCGAATTTAGGGTTTTCTACCAGCGAAGCAGGTGCGTTGACCCTAAAGGCCAGTACGAGATCTCTGATCTCGTACGATCCTTCAGACAAACGAACGCACTCGAAGCGGCTTGGTCTAGCATAGTCGGGTGGATCCT